AGTTATATAGTGTCCACCGTATGGCGATACATTTTTAAAGCACATTAACATATCATCTGTCAAACCGACAATTTAAAAAAAAAATAGAAATTTATATATATTTTTTTGTAGTTCAAGAGTAGTACAATACCCTACTGTAATTTAATTTTCCTAAAAAAATTTCTACTCTTCAATAAAAATTGTTGAAAAAGCTTATGTTTTGAACGGATCAAAGTGGTGTAACCCCTTAATTGTAAAACTATTCAAAAACATTAATAACTTCTGTTTTAAATAAATATTTAATCATTATTTTTCCATAGGAATTAGGATTTTCAAAAATTTCAAATTCGAACCTTTTTGGAATTCAACAACTTATAAGAATATTTTATTATAAAACATGAAGATAACGATAATCGCTTTCTTCATGTTTTATAATAATTAAAGATGACTGAGTGATAAAATCATTATTTTATATTATATAAGAATATTGTTACAGTAACTTCTTCAAAATTAATTTCTTCATTTCAATTCAATTAATATTTTATAGAATTTTTAACTAAAATTTTTCTCTAAATCAACTATTTTTAATCATTTTTCGACAAAGTTTTTTGAGAATTTTCAAATCCATATGTTTACAATTCAATTTTACGAAATTTCGATTATTCGAAAGTTCTTCAATTAAATATATATTAGAAAATAAAAACTTTAAATAATCAAAAACAAAATTTCGATTAATTTTATTTAAAAAAAAATTAGTTCCATATAGAATTTTTAATTAAAAGTATGAAAAATTCAGATTTTCAAAAAATTTAATTTGAAATCTTTACAAAATTCAATTATCTCTAAAAATTGCAATTATTAGTAACTTCTCAAAAATTCAATTATAATCTAAAACTTTATCTGAAATTAATTTTTAGATCAATTTTTATTAGAAAATTCTACGAGAATTCAATTCCTTAAATACAGAAATAAAAATTTTATTCAATAATTGAATGTTTCTTTAAATTGAATTCTCATTAAAAATTTTATTATCAAAGTGTTTTGGGGGTTAAGTGTGCAAAAACTGCCCCTGCATCTATTTTTCTTAAATTTTCTTAAATTCAATTATTTAAAAACAATTTTGACAAAATTCTACACGAATATTCAATTATTTTCTAAAACAATGAAATTCTCACAGGAATTCAATTATTAAAAACAGAATTTGCATTTAAATTATTTCGAAAAAAGTTTAAAACCTTTTTCCTTAAAACTTTTTTTCATAAAATTCTTCTCATTAATTCAATTATTTTCGTAAATAATAATAAAACTCATTGCACAATTTCAATTATTTTTAATAGAATTTTAATCGAATTCCTTTAAAAACTGCAAATTCTATTTTTAATAATTGAATTCCTGTGAAAATTTCATTGTTTTAGAAAAAAGTAGAATAAAAAAAGTAGAATTTTGTAAAAATTGTTTTTAAATAATTGAATTCTTTTTGATATACAAATTATTAAATTACTAAAAATTTTTGAAAATAATTGAAATTTTGCAATGAATTTTATTGAAATTTTTGGAAATAATTAAATTTTATTACTTTTGAAAATAATTGAATTCTTGTGATGAATATTGTTATTTTTGAAAATAATTGAATTTATGCAAATTTTATTTTAAGTAATTGAATTCCTGTGAAATTTTTATTTTTTTGGAAAATAATTGAATCTTCGTGTAGAATTTTATCAAAATTTTTGTTTAATAATTGAATTCTTTTAGAAAATTTTATTAAAAATGTACATAAAATATAAAAAATCATTGAATTAAGAAAAATTTTTGAAAATAATTGAAATTTAGCCATGAATTTTATTAAATTTTTTGAAAATAATTGAATTCTTGTGATGAATATTGTTAGTTATGAAAATAATTTAATTTTTTAATGAATTTTATTAAAATTCCTGAAAATAATAATTGAATTTTGGCGAAATTTTTTTGCTATTTATAAAGATAATTGAAATATTGACCATTTTTTTTTAGATTTTTTGAAAATAATTGAATTTTTGGAAAGAATTTTGATATTTTTTAAAATAGTTAAATTCTTTCAGTAAATTGCGTTAAAATTTTAAAAATTGAAACTAATTTCAACAGAATTGAAATCAAAATTTTTAAAAGAAATACTTTATTAAATGGTTTATATAAGTAATAACTTTATAGCAGTTCTTCAATAGAATTAAATTTTTTAAAATAAATTATTGTCAGAAATAGTAAAAATCGAAGGTTTTGTTTTAGAATTCGTGGTAATTTTTATAGTTTATAAGGCAAACAAAAAGACACAAAAATTTAGAATTGTCTTATAAATTCTAAACATTTAATTTTTTCCAGTACTTTTAATAAAAATCCCTGACTTTTATCTGAATTCCCTGACCTGTGGCAACCCTGTTATTATTATGATTTTTTAAACTAATTTCAAATTATTGAATTCTCTATTTCCCCTGATACAAAATTATATTTTCCTTGACAATATCCTTGACACATACAATTATTATAAATTACTTTTTATAATTATAAACGGTACATATTAACGAACCATAGAATCTTGACGATATGCTAATTTTTATACTTCATAAACTTTATTTCGTTTATCAACAAGAATATTTTCCTACTTAAATTTTGCATTAATAAAATCACGTGATAAAATGCATATTAATCACATTGTATATATTCTGTATTTGTCTTTCGAAAGGCTTGAAATTTAACTTTCTTTATTACATGCGAATAATCGTGTTTTTCTATAGAAAATTTCATTTTCGTTACTATTTTAATTAATATTAAGGGGGTAGGGGAAAGTGAATATTTTATGCATCATGTCATTCTCAAGATTCGATATCTGGCAAATTTGTCGCAAGTAAGAAGAAATGAATTTGGAAAAGTAAAGAAAAGTAGATCTAGTTTCAAAGATGCATGGATGTCTTTTAGGAAAGACTGATATGGCCTCCTGATTTGGTGAGACTCAGAGGGAAAGAGTGTTGATAAAAAATTACTCTATTTCCTGAACACGACAAAGAAAACGACCACAAAAGACTCGCGTTCCACGTTCCCCTATACACAATGGTCATTTTTATCAGAATGAGTACTATATACGACACACATACAAACATATATTTATTTATTTAAGAGCTATGCGAAATATTAAGAAAATTAAACGCGAGTATAAATTGTGTCAACAGAAATACAAGAGTTAAAAAAAATTCCAAAAGAAATAAAAATAGAAATGAAGTGGAAAATATATATTTTTTAATGCAAAACGAGGAAAACAGAAAAAAATTATATATCTGGAAAAATCCTCCCTTAAAACGGAAATCACAAACATTTATAATTTTATTACTACCCAAAAGATGAAAGACAAACAAATGATCAATATTTGTCTGTCTATCAAACTTTATTTCAATGAAAAGTTACTTCATTTCCGTGGAGTCTGTAAAGTTTTGATCACTATATTTATTCAGTGTGTTTCAAAGCAATGCACCACTCGTACGAATACGATATACTGAATTCAGTGCTAATTTATGCAAAATATATTTTTATATTTTACCCGCACTGAATTTCAACACATTTTCTTCTTTTTTAAAAAAGCTTGTAATTATTATTATTATTATTATAAATAATTAACCACAAGGGTTGTCAACTCCTGATTGGACCTATATATGAAGAATATATTTTCCAAAGGCATAAATAATAATTCGTCAATACAAACTTCGCACTCGATAATTAATTTTAAAAAAGTATAGCAACAAAACTGACAAAAATTCCATTCTATATTTTATTTTTCTGACTTTTTCCTAATTTTCATCAAAAATATTTACTACTTCTTTATCCTGCTAATAAATATTGAATTCCTGCAACGAATTTTATTATTCATGAAAAAATTGAATTCTTATGAAGATTTTTACAAAAAATTTTTTAAATAATTGAATTCTGTTTGGAAATTTCATAAAAAAAAGTTTATATTGAAAATCATTGAATTACGAAAAGTTTTTAAAAATAGTTAATTTTTACAAAGAATTCTATTAAACTTTTTATGAGAATAATTGAATGTCTCTGTAGTATTTTATTGAATTTATTAAAAAATAATTGAATTATAATTCAATAATAATATAATTATAATTGTGATGAATATTGTTATTTTAAGAGAACAATTGAATTTTGCAAAGAATTTTATAAAATGCCTTAAAATAATTGCATTTTCGGGAATAATTTTGTTATTTATCGACATATATAATTGAATTCTTTCGAAGAATTATTTATGTAAATAATTGAATTCTTGGGAAGAATTTTATTAAAATTTAAAAGAATAATTGAATTATTTCAAAAAAATTTAATTAAAATTGTATTAAAAATAATTGATTTCTTTCGAGCAATTTTATTAAATTTGAAAATAATTGAATTCCTGTGAAAAATTCTAATATTTTTGTAAATAATTGAATTCTTACAAATAATTTGAAAACAACCTTTTTTAAATAATTGATTTTTTAAAGGAATTGAAATTAAATTTTTAAGAATAATTACATTTTTCGAGCAATTCTTGTAAAATTGTGTTAAAAAAAATTAATTGAAATCCTGCGATGAATTTTATTATTTATGAAAATAATAATTGAATTTTGGAATAAAAAAAATTAATATATACAATTCGTCAAACATTTTAAAATATTAAAATTTTTACACATCTCTATAAAGAGTGTTTAGTCAAAAATAGAATAATTTTTTAATTATTCTGTAAGTTTTTAATTTGAATAAATTAAATTTTTTTAAATTTAACTCAATATTTTTATTAATTACAAGTGTACAATGAAATTTTTTTTAAATTCTTTCAATTTATATAATTATCTATACAACCCAATTTTAAAATCCGAGATAACAATGAATGGTTTTTTCAACCATCCATTGCCTTTCTTTTGAAAATCGTAAATATTTTATGTACACTAAATATAAACTCGATAAACTAATCTGTGTAAACTTTTCTGTTCATATTTTCAACTAAATATAAACTCATTAGAGTCGTATTTTCGTCATAGCTAAAAGAATTATACCCAAAAATGACTTTTAATGCCTTACTAACATAAGACATCAGCAAAGTAACTGTTGCACAGCACGGATATATCACTCTCTGTCTCTTTATACATACACATTACACTAAGAAATGTATTGTTTAACAAAAATTATATTTTCCATTGTAATTATAAGTTTGTTAATGTTTTCAATAAACGGTCAAGGTTGTATGCCGATGGGAGGTTATTGTCAAAAGGGTCTAGCCGAAAATTGTTGCTATCCAATGACCTGTAACGCTGAGTCAAATTCGTGTGAAGCCATGGGTGGCGTGATATTTTAATTTTATGCAAGTATAATTTAAAAAATTTTTACATTATTTGAATACATTTTTATGTAAAATAAGCTACAACTTTTTTAATTAAAAAATTTTTAAATTTCAGAAAAACAGTGATTCATTCATTTTCAACTTATTGAAGAAATTAAAAAGTTATTAAAGTGATAAAATTAAAAAATTTTAGTAATTTAATATTAAATTTTTCTTCAAAAAAAGTAAAATAAAAACGACTTTTTAAAATAATTTTTGATACATTGTTTAAGTTCGCAAATCAGTAAAGAATATTATTTAACATTACAATTGTTATTTAATCTTCTAGTTGAAAATTATTTTACTTCCATTCAGTAAAGTGATAATAAATAAGACATTTTATGAGTGAATAATAGCTGCTACAAAAAAAAAGTTTTGTAACAACAAAATATACAAAATATGAAAACGTGTCAGTTTTAATAAAATGTAATTAACTACTTGGTGGTAAATACAGAAAAAAAACTCGTAAGGAATGATTTTATATAATAATTTCTTTAACGCAAGTTTAAAATGAGAAAAAAGATCTTCAACATTTTAAATTAAATTAACAGAATGAGTAAAAAACTATCAAGGTATCGACTTTAATATTATATCGCGTCGGATCGAAAAATGCACAAAAAAAGTCGCTTTAGTCGATTAAAAATATAAAAATGTCGAAAAGGTCGTTTATTTAATTCAGTGTTATGACAAACATTTTATTTTGTATTTCCCTGACCTTTCATTGATTTCTAAATTAAATTATTCAAAACTTGAATAATTTTGTTAAATAAATATTTTAATTCTTCTTACTTGTTCTTCCACGAGAAATAAAATTAAAAAAATTTCAATTTAAAACCTTTTGAAATTTAATAATTTCTAAAAATTCAATTACTTTGCTCAATTTTTAACTAAACTTCATTTTTAAATCAATTATTTTAATACAAAAATTCAATTTTTTACAATTACAACTGTAACTGTTTATTTTTTAAAACCTATTAAGGTATAATATTTTCAAAAATTTTTAATAAAGAAATTCTTAAAATTAATTTTTTTTCAAATAATTTTAAATAATGTTTAAAAGATAATAGTTTTTCAATTATACACATTGAAAAAATTCCAAATAATTGAAATAAAGTTGAAATCTTTTAAATATAATTGAACTTTTGAAAAATATACAAAAAATGATGAAATTTTTAAATAATTTTAATAATAGATAGATATGAACATGATATTTCTCCGACATTTTAATAAGTCTAAAAAAGTAAATTTTAAAACATTTATATTTACTTTGTTCGAAGATAATTTATTGAATCTTAAAAAATTATGGTAAAACAATTTTAAGAATTAGTTTTTTAAAAATATTGTAATGTAATTTTTCGACAATAATTGAATTTCTTAAAAGAATTTTTGTATAATTAAAAAAAACTAATTTTTTTAAAGAATTTTAATGCAAAATTTTAAACATGATTGTTTTTTCCAAAAAGCGAAAAAAGTTTCTAAAAATTTTTAATGTTATAACTTTTGGTGTGTATTTGAATTTTTAGAAATATGTAATTGAAAATAAATGAATTTTTTAAAAAAAAGAATGAAAAAATTCTATAAGAATAATTTTTATCTAAAATATTATAATTTAAATTTTTAAAAGCTTATTTTCATTTTTAAATTTACACTTGAAGATTTTTCATTGAAATTTTTGAGAATTTATTATTAATTTCGAAATTTGCAATTTAAATTCTTCAAAAGTTGATTTTCAAAAATTGTAATAAAATACTTGCAAAAAGTCAATTATTTTGAATTAAATTTAACAAAATTTGTATAATAGAAAATCTTTTTAATTGTATATTTCGAAAATTTACATAATTAGAAAAGTGATTCAAAAATAGATTTTGAAAGATTTGTCTATAGTTATTTTTCTCACTATAAAAATTTTAATAAGTTGTATTTTATACTAAAAATGCTGTATTTTATTGTAATTTTTGAAAATAATTCGAAAAAATCGCATTTTTCGAAAATAGCAAAAAAAAAAGTGGAAAAATTCAATAGGTATATCCGAGGCCTGAAATTTTCAGTCCAACAAAAAAAAAAGCTTGGGCCCATTTTGAAAAACCCTTTTTTTCGATATTTTGAAAATAATATAATAAACACGTTTTTTATGAAAATAAATAATAATAATAATAATGTTGTTATAGGTTTAAATCGTGAAAAGGTTACTTTAAGGGTCATAACTTCGGCAGTTTTAAAGACAAATCGTTCAATGTTTTTTAATTTCCAGAAAATTTTATAAGTTCTGGTGCAATCAATTCTATTGATATTTTCAAAATGTCGAAAGAATAAGTTTTTTCCAAAATAAATATATTTTTAGAGTCGCGCTGAGACTTTTTCTAGTAATCTATTTCACTTGTTGTCTTGGGCAACCAATAAACTATTATTATTATTATTAAATACGTTGCATAATGAGTTGACATAAATAAAAAATCTAACTAAAGATTCTCAGAATACCTAAGAATCGAAAGAAGAAGAAAAACTTACCTCTTCATCTGATGCTGGTTCTTCGTAGTCCGAATTGGTTTCCTTGAAGACAAAAATGCTATCCGATGGATCCAATTGACGAGAGTTGCCAAACTGCGTTTGTCCGTCGGTGGAATTTATTACACTGTTCGTTTCAACCATTTTTCTTCTTTTTATTTCACACAATGCACTCCGGTTCTGTAATTACAATTAAAAGTACATGTTTTTAATTATTAATAAATTATTATTTTTACTTTAAACGTTTTAAACAATTTACAATTAATCTTTTTGTAATAAAAGCATTTCATTTGCAGGCCTCGCATTGACTTTAACGAGCAAAAAAGGTCGCTTTAGTCGATTAAAAATAGAAAAAAAGTCGAAAAAGTCGTTTATTTAATTTAGTGTTGTGACAAAAATTTTATTTTGTATTTCTCTGATTCTTTAATGATTTCTAAATTCAATTAATCAAAACTTGTATAATTTTGCTAAATAAATATTTTTTAAATATTTTTAATTTATTTTTTTATAATAATTGAAACCGTCCATTTTTCTTTTTAAAGATATTAAGGTAGACTATTTTCAAAAATTTTAATAAAGAAAATCGTAAAATTAACTTTTTAAAAATATTTCTAAATAATTTTTGAAAGACAATATAGTTTTACAATTAAATACAATTAAAAAATGTCCAAAAAATTGAAATTTGGTAAAATCTTTTAAAAAATAATTTAAATTTAGTAAAATCTTTGAAAAATAATTGAGTTTTTAAAAAATATTTAAAACATATTCAAATTTTTTAAGAATTTTAATTATAAATGATTTTTCAAAAATTCTGAAATAATAGTCAATTTTTAAAATTTTAATTTACTTTGTTCGAAGGTAATTGAATCTTAAAAAATTATTATAAAACAATATTCTAAGAATTAGTTCTAATTCTAAGAATTAGAATGTAATTTTTTGAAAATAATTGAAGAATTTTTGTACAATTTAAAAAAAAACTAATTTTTTGAAGAATTTTAATTAAAAATTTTGAATATGATTATTTTCTCCAAAATGTTAAAAATAATTCTAAAAAATGTTAATTTTATTATTTTGTGTGTGTATTTGAATTTTCGGAAATATTGAAAACATTGAATATCGAAAATTTTGAAAATAATTGAATTTTAAAAAATTAGAACCGAAATAATTCAGAGAATTACTTTTTTCAAAACTATTTTAATATTTATTTTTAGAATCGAATTTTCATTAATTTTCATTTTTACTAAATTCACACACTTGAAAATTATTCATTAAAATTTTTGAGAATTCAATTATTTCCAAAATTTTCAATTAAAATTCTTGAAAAGTTAATTTTTAAAAATTGTAATAAAATACTTGAAAAAATTATTTTTTTTTCCAAAATTTAATTAAAAAAATTATTCAAAAATAAATTTTTAAAGATTTGTCTATAGTTATGCTTTTCACACTATAAAAATCGAAATAATTTGCATTTTATACTAAAAATATGGTATTTTGTCGCAAAAATTGTAAAGAAAGTCGAAAAAGTTGCAATTTTTTAATATAAGTCGATAAAAGTCGCATTATTTGTAAATAGTCGAAAAAAGTCGAAAAAGTCATAATCTGGAGCCTCATTTGTAAAACAAAGGAAATCTTTTATTTATTTATCGGTCAGTTTTTTTTTAAAAACTTTTTTTGAAAATGAATTTTTGGATTAATTTTTTAAAACTAACTTTGAATCATTTGAATTCAATTAAAACGTGTTCCAATTAATAATATAACTAAATAAGCCGATATTAAGTGCTCGATAGCGATATACTTTATATGTAGCATCCTGAGGTACGATGCCCTCAGTGTCGTCAAAGGTACTTCATATCAAAGTGAAAGACGTAAGTAAATGCCAACATGCAATTCCATAACGGAAATTAACTTGAGATAAGTAATTACGGAATACAGACATGACTTTGAGATGGATTTGAATGTTCGAAAATTTGATTAAACATTAAACATACGTGGTACATAAGCGTGAATTTCATCACCTTCGGGTTCATCATTTTAAAACCAAATTTACAAGCATAACAAATAATTTATAAAAAAAACTGTTTTAATTTTTTAATTTTCATTATTAATAATTTTTTTACCTTCCTTTGATCGTTAAAAATTTATCATTAATAAAATAATGAAACAATTTTTCATTTTTATATTGTTGAAATAATTAATATTTTTTCAAAATATTGAGAAATGTATCAAAAATAAATAAATGTTTTTATCCTTCCACAATTATTTAATAAATTATTTTTGCGTTTTTTCTATCAGCTTTTACGCATAATCCAAAAATCGAAAAAATAAATTATAAAACTTCTAAAAATTTAATTTTTTTTCCATTTCTGAATGAAATTTAAAATTAAATATTTAATTTCTATTCGATTTCGATTAAAAATTTCATTCATTTCAACATTCAGAAATTATGGATTATAATTTCCTTTACTGAAAATTATGCT